TGGGACCACAGCACGTAAAGCTGAGAGTCGGTCCCCCTCTCTATCCTCTTCCTCTGGACTCTGTGTTGTAACAGGTCGTAGTGATAGAACCTGAGGACAGCTGTGTGGTCATGACGTTTTTCTCATTTGTTATATAAACCCTGTTCTGTAACATAAAAAGTGAATGAGAAGTCTGGTATCTGGAAGGGTACTAAGCCATGGGGATGGCCAGATCCTGTGTAAAGAGAAGAGAGTGACGGACAGCTGGGGGTATCACTCCTTCCCCTGTTCTGTCTCCGTTGAGCAGCCTGTCCCGGCCTCATAAGGATGAAGCAAGGACCTGAGGCCTGGCCCCACCGGGCAGTGGAGATCCAGAACACTAGGCACTTGTTGGAGCTCAAATGTTTGTTGAGTGACTGAATGAATGTGTGTGAGCCTTCCCACCCTGCAAGGCTCCCTTATTTGCCCAGCCTGTCAGGACTGGGTAGAGGCAGACAGCCTGGATTGGATCTCATGAGGGTTTTGTGCCCACTCTGGGAACTACCTGAAGATGCGTAATATCTTTTGGATCCCCGAGCCGTCACTAAATGTTTAAGAACAAGAATTTGAGCAGTAAATTGAAGCATATGCAAAACAGAGGGACACAGTCTGGATATGGTGCGTATCCCTTTGAGTCCCCTGAAGCAGACATGACAGCTGGGTACAGAGGTGGCTGAGGAGACGGTGACTCACCCCTTGGGTCATGGGCCACCTCTTGACCGCGCTGTGAAGACAAGAGAGAGCTCTCCATGCGGGACGTCTGGAGCTGCTTCTGTACCAGCGGCAGGGCACACAGCGGCTGGCCTGGCCGCCTGGGCACGGAGGGCATCTCGGCCAGTGCTCTCCACTCGGCCCAGACAAGCCCTCGTGGCAGGGAGCCTAACTCTGGACTCGGCCGCCCCCCCCCCCCAATCTCCACTTGCACTGCCCGAGCCGCCTGCTCTATGCTCACATCACCCCAAGCTGTCCTGCGAGCAAAAGAGGCTCATTGCTTAAAAAAAAGGTTAAACCTCTTCTAGTTTAAACCACTAATCGAATCTCTTGTTTTACAAATTTAGAAAACAAATTTAGGCGCCAGGAGCTAAAGGTCTCTCTCCCCAAGGTCAGGAAACCAGATTGAAACTGAGCTGGCCCCCACACCCCGTCTCCTGACCCTCAGCTCCGCTTCCGCTCTGTGAGCCCCACCCAGCTCCCGGGTTGGGGAAACTGAACTGAGGGGAGTTGGGGGCAGGTGGGCTCGTGGGCACTGCTTCCCGCTGCATATGGATTCCACCGCAGGGAAAGCACAAAAACCTGGTCTGATCTAGGGGAGAGTGTTGGCTAAACTGCCTGAGCTGAGTCATTCAACAGACATTTGTCGAGTGCCTTCTGTGTGCTGGGCAGAGCCCGCAGACGCAGCAGCTCCTGGCCTCAGGAGACTTAGTGTTTTGAAAGGGATACTGATTTTTCTAAGTATGCAAGTCAGTCAGTCATATTATATATCATTACAAAGCCCACTGTGAAGGGAGGAGCAGAGATGCTGTGAGAGCACAGAGACGAGGACCTGGCCCAGCCTGGGGCATCGTCACCAGAGACGGTCTCAGGAGGAAGTGCCTTTGGGCTGAGATCAGACAGACGTCCAGCAGTGAACCTGGTGAACAATGATGGCTGATCTTCCTTGAGCATTTCCCTGGGTCAGCCTTCCTTATCTGCACTAACTTCTATAACCCTCCCAAGAAGCCTGTAAGGCAGGTATTGTTATTGTCTGATTGTCTCCCTTTCACAGATGGATAAACTGAAGCAAAAAGATGTAACTGATTCACATTCACATGTAGGCCTCTGGCCCCAGGTAATTACTCCACGTTGCAGGGCTCTGGAGGTGGCCGAGGTCCAGGGAGGGGAGAGGCCATGGCTGCCGAGCTGCAGGGCAGATGGTCTAGATGAAGCTGCTGAGAGAAGAAAGCGCCACGTCGTGCAGGTCTGGTAGGTTGTGAGAGTCGTGTCAAAACTTGTCGTGTTTTTCCTAAGGCCAGTAGGAAATATTTTAAACTAGAGAGTGCACGATCATACCTATGTACTAGAAAGATCACTCGGGCTGCTGTGTGGAGACTGGATTAGAAATCACTTTTATCCAGTCCTTTTGTAGGAAGTTGGGAAATTCTTAAACCGGTTCCCGTACACATTAGAATCATAGCATGGACTGCCTTAGAACGTTCTATAATTCATTCAGCCAATTGAAAAACCGGGTCAAGGCCTGCTCCCTGGCACCTCTGTCACCACGTGATCCACCCTCTCGGCCCCTGCTGGCCACTGGAGGCGGTTGCCCCGTCCCATTCCTGCGGGGCTGCCCCTGAGGCTGCCTGGGCACCGGCGCTGTGGGGAGGCGCCCCGCTCCCCGCCTCTCCAGGTCAGCCCGCAGCTCCCCGCTCCCAGACTGTGTACTAGAAGGCTGGGATAGAGTTCGGGTGGATCATTTCTCTCCCAGTAAGATGCCATGTGGGTTTCTAAAGACAGACGCGCGGCTCTGCGTGGAGGCGATATTTGGGCACGAGCACCGGAAGCCGCGAAGCCCTGGATCGCTTTCTCTGCCCACGGTCCTGGGGTTGCCGAGCTGAGGGGAGCAGAGAGGGCTCGGCAGCGGAGAGGCAGAGATTGCTCAACCAGACCAGCTACTGCCTCAGCCCCGCGGGAAGCGTCTTCCTCGTTCCTCGTTAAGTCCGTTTAAGACGCAGATGACACGTCTTTTGTTCTAACAGAAGGAACAGCAAGGCTTTTCAGAACCGGTGTCCCTGTCACGGGAGCTGGTGGTTGGTGGCTGCTGTTTGTAGAGTGCGAGCTGATCTGATGAGGCATTTGACCGGATCGTCGGATTCCTAAGTTTTACATTCTGTTTAAGTTTGGACATGTCTATGGAAGGCAGAAAAATAAAGGCTAAAAAAAGTCAGCCTCGCCCTGCCCCTGGGTTTCCGGGACGCTGCCGCACTCCGCCTTTTCTGGAACGGAGTACGTGCCTTTTCCTCCTGGACGGGCGCGCTGCGCCACCTTGTGCACGTATTGGGAACTGCACGTCCCCAGCTTCTCCGGGCTCCGAGGAGGAACAAGCTTCCCAAAGTTTCCCCAGATGAGGAGGAGAGAGAGGCTGCCACACCCCCTCGTTCCCCGAAGTAAAGACCAGGCTCCAGACCGGCCCAAAGGAGGACCAGCACAGAAGGGAATGAGGATGTTAACCTTCCCTGCTACTCTGCAGTCCATAGGATCATGTGCAACTGTCACAGCCAACACCTGCCCGTGGCCCATGAGGCTGTGCGCTGCAAATGGAGACGGGACAAGGCCTGCGCTGGATCTCACGTCAGTGCTTTCGTGAAAATGAAGTTCCAAGACTTTGTCCCTTTTTTTCCCGGAGGGAGCAAGAAATGAGAGATTAAAGTGGCAATAGCTGTTTCCTGCTTGTGAAGCGCTGGAATTTGCACACTTTTGCTCTGTGGTCATGGAGCTGGTAGGGGCTGCTCTTGGCAGAGGAGCCAGGCAGGAGGGGGTTTTTCAGAACATCCACCCCAGCTTGTCTTAGGTGAAGAGAGAAGCCCAGAAACAGCGTGTGGCACAAAGGCGCAGCCCCTGGGCTTGCGTTTGATTTGGTAGGTGGCCTTTGGCAACCAGCTCTTGCAGCTTTAGAATAGCACATCGTGGGTGGTGGGGAGGTGGAGAGGACGTATGCTCCAGTGTCTCACATCCCTGCTTTTCACTCCGCTCTCCTGCACATTCAAGCTGTGTGACCTTGGGCACATAACCTGTGACAGTTTTCTCATCTGTAAAGTGGGGATGATAATAGGACCTGCCTCATGGGATGCTTGGCGGATTAATGAGATGTCGCCCAGGGCATGGCTCTTGGCCCACTCTCATAATGCTTCATGTGAGTAGTCAGCACGTGCCGAGTCCCTGGGCCCTCTGTAAACGTCTGATAGGAACGACTGGTCCTGGGTGTGGTGAGGGAGGTGACAGAAACAGTAGTGGGTCCAGGGTAGCTGCTCTAAAGTCCCTGATTCAGAACAGCCCACACTAGGTCACTGTCTCTGTGCAAGTAAGACAGGACCTGCAGTGCCCCTGAAGGAGGGGTGGAGGTGCAGAACTGAAACATGCCAGGTGGTGAGAGGCCGGGGCCGACACTGTGTGTGGCCAGGCCCCCCACTCTCCTGCAGGCAGGTGTCCAGGAGGCAGTGGTGGGGTGGACCTGTCAGCCTCTGGGTGACGAGTGGCTCCCAAGCTCTCCCCCGGGCTCTCCTCCGAGATGAAATCAGCAGGGACTTGGCGGGTGTGAGGTCTGGGTGGGGTGGGTGGTTTGTGTGCTGGTCGGTCACCAGGGTGCATGTGGCTCTTCGGAAAGGCACCTGAGGGGACGCAGAATTTAGCAGTAAAACCTGAGGACAGCCTTTGTCATTTCTGCTCATCTTCCATCAAAGATTCTAAGCTCTGGAGTGTGTGTAGAGTTTCTAGTGGTTACCATCACCTCATATGGGAAAGAAAAATCCATTTACTGAGTATCTACTATGCGCCAGGCACTGTGCTAGGGAGTTTAGACATTTAATCCTCTCAACAGCCCTGTCAGTTAGGAATTGTTATTTCGCCCATTTTACAGGTGAGGAAACTGACGTCTAGTGAAGCAGCTTGGCTGTCCCGCCCAGCTAGTGAGGGGGGAGCCAGGCTCAGGGTGGAGGCAGGAGAATCTTCGCAGTCCTGCATCTGTGTGTCCCCCAGCACCAGGCACAGTGCCCTGGATTTAGGAAGAGCTAGCAAATGCCACTGAGTTGAGAATGGAAGGAGTCATGTGCCAAAAGGGCACTCGGAAATGGGCACATGCCCAAGCGGGGCTCTGAAAGACCAGCTATGGAGACACCAGCTGGCCAGTCATCAATTCAAAACTCACTGTCATCTGGCCAGTGGCCTGCTGGACTGCAGCCAGCTGTATACAAGGGCTGACTTGATCAGCTTTGGCTCTTTTATTTTAGGCAAACCACCTTCCAAAGAGGTGCCGGCTGGGAATTACCCATTCATAGTCACCTCTGATGATGGACGGAAGGTTCCTGTGGTCCAGGCCTATGCTTTTGGCAAATACCTAGGCTATTTGAAGGTTGAGTTTGATGAAAAAGGATATGTCACTTCACATGGAAATCCCATTCTTCTCAACAGCAGCATTCCTGAAGGTACGTGAAATTCAGGGCAATGTTCCACCAGTCCAAAAGTTAGATGGCTGGATTTTTTTCTCCCCCTCAACCCCTCCCACCCCCTTTTTTTTGTTTTGGTTAATGTTTCAGGACAAGTCTCTAATACTTTTGAAGAATCGAGCTTCTCCGTTAAGTTTACTCTTTTCATTAATACGGACATTTAAAACACACCCAGGGCCGGCTCCGTGGCCGAGTGGTTAAGTTCACGTGCTCCCCTGTGGCGGCCCAGGGTTCGGATCCTGGGCACGGACATGGCACCACTCATCAGGCCACGTTGATGAGGCGTCCCACATCCCACAACTAGAAGGACCTGCAACTAAGATATACAACTGTGTACAGGGGGATTTGGAGAGAGAAAGCAGAAAAGAAAAAAAAAAGATTGGCAACAGTTGTTAGCCCAGGTGCCAATTCTTAAAAAAAAAAAAAAAAAAGATTGGCAACAGTTGTTAGCCCAGGTGCCAATCTGTAAAAAAAAAAAAAACGAAAAAAATTTTAAAAAAAATAAGTAAATAAAACACACCCAAAAGCCATTTGCTTCTCCGCATCCCATCAGCGTCCCACAGTGTGCCCCTGCTCCTTGTGCCCTTTCAAGCTTTACCCTGCCACGGGAAAGCCACTGTCAGCGAGGGTCCAGAGGAGAGCTGGTTATTGAAGCAGAGCGGCTCAAACTGGGCGGAGCGGGGCTCCAACCCTGGCCCTGCCACCAGGAGCATATGCCTGGGGCAAGTTGCCCAGTCTCAATGGGCCTAAGTTTCTTTATGTATTAAATGGGGGAGTGTGTTTCTTACATGGTTGTCTGGGACTCAGAGTAAAAATACATTTCTGTCATGGACTTTCATATAGTATGAACATGAACAGGCTCCCGTGCTTCTCTCTCACCTGCCCTTTACTGCTCACCATGATCAGATCAGGGAAGGACGGGCGGTGAGGTCCACAGTGCCCTGGAGAACCTGTGGTCGCAGCAGGCAGAGGGAGGGGCGGGGACCACACAGGCAGCACAACCTCAGCTGGCCGGTTATGCCCACCCTTGGGCCTTTCCTCTCCTCCCCACCACCACTAATGCTATCCCAGGTGGGCCAATAGGTATTCACACAGATGTGATGACGTTAGGATACTCAGCACGCCTTAAGTTAAGATCCATTCCGAGTCTTATTACCAAGAAACAGAATGGAGGTTCCTAACGAAATTTCACAGTCAAAACCAAAATGTACAGAAATATGTTAAAGAAACATATACTCACAACAGGTAAGCTAAATGATGTTTGATTTCTTCTCCAAAATTTAGGCCAATGTGAGATCTGCCTTAAATGCAGGCTAATTTTTGTTATCATTGTTGTTTTCTAGATCCTGGCATAAAAGCAGAGATTAACGAATGGCGTAAAAAATTATATAATTATTCTACCCAGGAAGTGGGGAGAACACTTGTCTATCTGGATGGCACCACTCAATCATGCCGCTTTAAAGAATGCAACATGGGCAACCTGATTTGTGATGCTATGGTGAGTGGTCCTCAGGCATGCAGGCCTATGCCCAGGGAGGGAGGAAGGAGAGGTGGCAGGATGCAAGGACGGACAACTCGATAGTTACAGAGTTGAGCATTTTAAAAGGTCAGTGCCCGGGGAAGAGCTTGGTGTGGATTCATACTGAGCGCCTTGGGCAGGAGCCTGAACCAGACCAGCTGATCATCACTTTATTGCTTAACAAGCACTGAAGCCTTTAGTTTAAGGTGTTCATCTTGGATGTCTGAATTTCGGGTGTTGCGTTCCTTTTGTAAGATGATCTGATTACACAAACTCTCCTACTCTGAAGACGTAGACATAGTCGATGAAACACGTCTGCTTGGGCCTAACCGGGCCAGACTGTTTCACCCGTCTGCCCTCTTGGCTCCAGAGACCTGGGCCTGTGTGACTGGAACCTCCTTCACAAGCAGAGAGTGACAACAGGCAGTTATCGTGATAATAGTAAGTCCTGTGGCTGAGCAGGCTCACCCATGGAAAGCACTCCTCTGACCACCTGTCTGTGGGCAGACTGGCAGTGGCCGCCCCTGGGGGCCGTGCTGAGTCAAGGTCTCTCAGGTCAGACTCACACTCCCACAAGATCACAGCCCACACCCAGGGGGGCTGTTTCTTTGTGCTCGGCACAGTGCCTCGTGCCCGGTGGCTCGGATATAGCCACACTCAATAAATGTCTGCCAAGTAAATGACAACATGCACGCTTTCCAAGGTGAGACCAACGCTGGCTGCTCAGCATCATGCAGTCAGTGCGAGAGACATAGCTAGAGAAGCCAGTGTGTGAATGTCTAGAAAAAGGTCTGGAAGGAAACACCCCAGGCTGTTAGCAGTGCTTACCTCTGTTAAGAGGCTAGGGCAAGTGTAAGAAAACTCTTGTTTTTGCACTATTTTTTTTTTCAAGTAAGAATGTATTATTCATTTTATTTCTTCTAACTAAATAGATATCTTGTAAAAGAAAAGTAAGACTGAAACTGATCCTCCCCAGTTTCAGGAGGCTGTCTCTGTGCCTCCCGAATTGCCAACCTGGGAATTGGCTGGGGACCTAGAGTGGAGGCCAGGGCTCCTGTTGGCCGGAGGTCTGGAGTTGACAGGCCTTCGGGTCCCGCCCTGGAGGCAGCCAGTCTGCACGGGGGCCCTGTCCTGCCACCACAGCAGCCGGCTGTGCTAATGCCCAGCGGCCTGAGAGTGCAGCGGTCTCAGGAGAGGGGGCTCAGAGCCACTTGCTTCTGAGAGTCTGACATGGGACTGGTCACAATATCTTATTTCTGCTTCTCAGAGCATAAAACTAGTTCTGACTAGTTATACTTGGGAAATCTCAGGGAACACAGCAGAGGGGGAAGCAGCTTGATTTCCTCAGTAGAGCTAACCAAATTCCTGGAACTGACCCTCAGGAAGAAGGCCCAGAATAACTAATGTAAATTCCTGCTACTGTTGCAGATCAACAACAACCTTAGACACTCGGATGCAGTGTCCTGGAACCACGTGTCCATGTGCATTTTAAATGGAGGTGGCATTCGGTCGCCCATTGACGAGCAGAACAACGGTATGCTCCCCAGGCCGAGGGCCCTCGGCTCAGCGTGCTCTCTCTCTGACATGCCCCCGGGCAGCCTCAGCTCCCCTCTGCTGCCAGCCACGTAGCACCGTGTCAGCCCCTTCAGTTTGGGCTAACTGCCATTCAAGTCAGTGCCTCACCCGAAGGGCACACACACGCTTGTGTGTTCTCGTGTGTCTTCACACACACAGGCAACGGCAGGGTTAGTGGAACTCAAGCTGGATCTAAACTTCTGAGTCACAAAGCTAAACTGTTGCTGATTTATGCAAAATACTGACAGCCTCCACCTTGATAGCTAGAAAGAGAAAGACAAAACTGCCAGTCTCCTGTGCTGGAAAAAAACATACCGCTGGATTCAATTCTTTTAGCACGTTTAAAGATATCCAGGATTATATCATTTGGTAAAACAACCCAACTAGACTGATACTCAAGACATTATCATTCTCCCCTGATACACTGCCAAAACCAGTCAGTCTCAGGGTATGCTCCAAAGTCGTTTCATCGTCAAACAGGGACAGGTGGCAGGGACACACTGCCTGTCTGGAGGAACTGAGCAATGCCTAACACCCACTGAGATCCAGCCTCAAGCCAGGAAATCCAGGGCAGAGCACAGGTGACTCTTGAGCCACCGCCATTTAGAAGCTCCCGCCATCTCGCCCAGTGGTGGAGGGCACAGCCAGAGGGCTCTTGAACGCATTCCCTCCCTAAGTGTCAGGAGCCACTTCGACACTGCTGATGCTGTCCCAGTAGGGCCCCGAGGCCCTGTGTCTCTTCACCTCCTCCACCAGTCCTACGGGAACCTGGGCTTGGGGTAAGCATGTCCTCGAGCTGTTTTCCTCTGCCTCATCTGTGACTACCCTCAGGCACCATTACCTTGGAGAGCCTGACGGCTGTGTTGCCCTTTGGAGGCACCTTTGACCTGGTCCAACTAAAAGGCTCCACCCTGAAGAAGGCCTTTGAGCACAGTGTGCACCGGTACGGCCTGTCCACTGGAGAGTTCCTGCAGGTGGGCGGTAAGTCCCCCTCCAAGATGAAGTGGGATTTCCTGCTGGTTGGCTTAGCTCCCCTCACCAGGACCTCCATGACCAGGCTTGTTTGGGTTTTCCCCCACCCAACACCAATGCATAGTCTTTCGGTGGTCGTGGACTCCCAGACCACTTAGACTAGGTCAGGGTCAAAGCCCCAAGGCCCCGGCACTGAGCACTGTTTGCCAACTCTGATTTGGACATTAGATGGACTCTCTGCAGGAGCTGGCCCGGCAAACTCTAAGCAGGTCAACTGCCTTGAGGCCTAGTTTCTATTAAAATCTTAGTTGTTTAAACATTCAATATTCTTTGTAAAAAAAAAAATCCCTTCTCTGTTCTATTCACAATTGCCTGGAACCATGCCGAGGTGCAAAGGAGTGCAGTGACCAATTAGTATTAACAGAGATGACTTCTGGGAGGGGCAGTGTGCTGCGTAAACACATGGGAACACCTGGGTCTGGTTCCACTGTGAGCTGGGGCAAGTCTTCAACCTCTCTGAGCACGGTGAGAAAACTGCCCTGCTCATCTCACAGATTACAGTGAAAATTGAATGAGAATAAATGCTTCACAAGTTGCCAAGGACTTCTGAAATGCTTTTGTTGATAATTCATTCCACAGTCCCATGAATTAATCTCTAAATTAACATTAATAATCTTATTTGACTCTGACACCATATTTTGGCCCCATTTTTTGACTGTAGCTATTGGCCACCCTTCCCCCCTTGATGGGTGTGATTGCTTTGTCTAGCCTTCCCTCCGTAGGATGCCACACTGTTGGCATTGAGGGGCTGCAGAAGGCGGTGGGCCGCTGGCCTGCTGCCTGTACGGTAACGCAAACATCCTCCATTTTTCCAGGAGAGACGGAGGGAACAGCAGTGAACTGATGCTCTAGCCCAGTGTTGGGTAGCTGTATGTTTTGTGAAAGTCACCCAAACTCAAATTATTACCATTTTGTAGTCTTCAAAATTCTAACCAATGTGCTGCACCTCTCATCTAGTTCTCATTTTCCAAGCCACTGAACAAAGTCGCTGGGCCAGCTGGTTCAGGATTTTAAGAAGATGTGGTTTCTCCCTGCAGTCACCCCTTGCCCAGCCTGGGCCAGAGCCAGTGCTCCTGCCCGTGGCTCAGACCTCCCAGAAGGATTCAAAGACGGACCTAACCAAGAAAGGGTAGCTTCAGTGTCACCTCAACTCTCTTGTTGAAATTTCACTCAAGCTCAAACTACATGAAAACCAAGCCCAGTGCCCTAATTCCAGATTTGGGGCAAAATCCCTTTCTTAGAACACAGAAATTTCCCTTTGGATCCAGTGAAAACAAAGACTCCTTTCTTTTCTAGGAATTCACGTGGTATATGATCTTTCCCGAAAACCTGGAGACAGAGTGGTCAAATTAGATGTTCTTTGCACCCAGTGTCGCGTGCCCCATTACGAGCCTCTCAGAATGGATAAAGTGTATAAGCTGATCCTCCCGAACTTCCTTGCCAATGGTGGAGATGGATTCCAGATGATAAAGGACGAGGTATTAAAACATGACTCCGGTAAGCACAAGCGTCTCTTCCTCTCCCTGTCCCAGTGGTATTTAAGAACAGCAGGACTGGTCTGAAGAGGGGAGCTACTCATGATGCCAGCAGGGCAAAGCCAAAACCAGATCCTACCCCTATGTTGCCAGCTCCCTCCTGCTTTGTTTGAAAACAGCCACACAGTACAGGGAGTATGTGCCCAGCCCCTCCCTAGCACACACACCCCTCCATCCAAGCCCAGGACAAAAACATTTGTCAATCAAAAATGTCTTAAAACTCTAGGTACACCTAAACAGCTATTTAAATTGTGAAATATAAATGAGTTTTGCACTTACAGAAAAACCACCTCTAGACCTTTAGGTTGGACATGGAAAAGCATCATATTAAATCATCTAATCTTTCTCAAAGAAGCTTTTAGCATGAAGAGGTCAGGCAGGAGTGGATGGGATATGCACCCCCCTTTCAGCACAGTGGGTTGGTGGAATCAGTGACGGGAACCATCACACTTGACCCCAGTCAACATTTTCTGCAGCATTGGAGGTCATTCTACCCTAGCCTCACTTTTAAAAATGCAATTGAGAACCATCTCATGTGCATAAAGTCCACTGACAGAATACACTACCCCTTCCTCTTCTCCAGAGCAGAAACCAGGGTGCTTACAAGACACATGCACAGCTTCTCCGCATCTCCAGGAAGGAGCTGAGCCAGGTTCCTCCTCAGCCTTACCAGAGTGGACCTGCCATTTTACTGCTTATTCCAAGGAGGGTGAAGGACAGAGCCAGGGCAAAGGAGGGCAGCCCTTCTGGGGAAGAAAGTGCTGGCTACTTCTGTCCATTCCATGACAGAAGATGGAAGAGCAGGCCTAAAAAGGTGTCCTCTTGAGCCCCACATGAGACAAAGAGGCTGATGGCTGTTGGACAGAAGGAGCTCACACAGAAGGCTGAGGAAGCCTTAGCCTTAGGCTCAGCCTGGCTACACAGTAGAGTCACTTGGGGAGCATTTTAAATTACGTACCAATACCTTGGCCCCAACTTTTAAGAGAGTGTAATTTAATTGGGTTGGGGCAAAAGCCTCTTCCAGTGATTCTAATGTACACCCAGGGGTGAGAACCACTGCAGAGAAGGGTTCTTTTTTAAGTATTAGAGTGATATATGTTTTTATTGAGGTATAATTGACATATAATATTATGTTAGTTTAAGGTATACAACAGAATGACTCAATATTTGTATATGTTGTGAAATAATCACCTGTAATTCTGGTTAACAGCTCACCATAGTTACAAAAAAATAGTTACAAAAAATAGTTATATAAAAAATTTTTTCTTGTGATGAGAACTTTTAAGATCTACTCTCATAATTTCAAATATGCAATACAGTATTATTAACTATAGTCACCATGCTGTACATTATATCCCCAGGACTTACTTGTTTTATAACTAGAGGTTTGTACCTTTTGACCCCTTCACTCAATCTGCCCACCTCCCACCTACCACCTCTTGTGAACACCAATCTGTCCTCTGTATCTGTCAGCTTGGTTTTTGTTGTTGCTGTTTTTTAGATTCTCACAGAAGTGAGATCATACGGTATTTGTCTTTCTCTGTCTGACTTATTTCACTTAGCATAATGCCCTCAAGGTCCATCCATGTTATTGCAAATGCAAATGGCAAGATTTTATTTTTTTTAAGGCTGAATAGATTCCATTGCATATATATATGCCCTGTCTTTTTCTTAATTACTTTATTGAGGTCACTTTGGTTTATCACATTGTGTAAATTTCAGGTGGACATCATTATATTTCAGCTTCTGTACAGACTGCATCATGTTCACCACCAAAGGTCTAGTTTCCATCCATCACCATACATATGTGCCCCTTTACCCTTTACCCTTCCCCTCTGGTAACCACTAATCTATTATCCTTATAGATATGTTTATCTTCCACATATTAGTGAAATCATATGGTATTTGTCTTTCTCTGTCTGACATTTTGCTTAGCATAATAACCTCAAGGTCCATCTATGTTGTTGCAAATGGCATGATTGCGTCTTTTTAAAGGCCGAGTAGTCTTCCACTGTGTGTATATATACCAGATCTTCTTTATCCATTCCTCCATCGATGGACACATTGTTTCCATATCTTGGCTATTGTAAATAATGCTGCAGTGAACGTGGCCATGCATACATATTTTTGAATTAGTGTTTTTGTCTTCTTTGGATAAATATGCAGATGTGGAATTGCTGGATCATATGGTAGTTCTTTCAATTCTTTGAGGAACCTCCATACTGTTTTCCATAGTGGCTGCATCGGTTTACATTCCCACCAACAGTGCACAAAGGGTTCCCTTTTCTCCACACTCTCATCAACACTTGTTATTATCTTTTCAATAATAGTCATTCTAACAGGTGTGAGGCGATATCTCACTGTGACTTAATTTGCATTTCCCTGCTAACTAGTGACACTGAGCATCTTTTCATATGCCTGTTGGCCATCTGTCTGTCTGTCTTTGGAAAAAATGTTCAGATCCTCTGCCCATTTTTTTTTTTTTTTTAAAGATTGGCACCTGAGCTAACAACTGTTGCCAATCTTACTGATTTGGGGGTTTTTTTTTTGCCTTTTCTCCCCAAATCCCCCCAGTACACAGTTGTATATTTTAGTTGTGGGTCCTTCTAGTAGTGGCATATGGGACGCCACCTCATCATGGCCTGATGAGTGGTGCCATGCCCGTGCCCAGGATCCGAAACGTCGAAACCCTGGGCCACCAAAGCAGAGCATGCGAACTTAACCACTCAGCCACGGGACCAGCCCCATCTGCTCATTTTTTATTTGGATCGTTAGGGGTTTTTTTGCTGTTGAGTTGTACGAGTTCTTTATATATTTTACATATCAACCCCTTATCATATATATGATTTGCAGAATGGTATTTTTAAAATAAAATTCTGTTGGGTCCCTATGATTTTGATGTAGTCATAGGCAATTAGTATTTCTCGATCAGCTCTCCTTGCTTTTGGAAATGAAGCCTCGATTGTCTCACCATCAATCATGTGAAAATGATCCTTGAGCAGGCAAGCAAAAGGAAGCCGCTTTTATGTCTCAACTAATTGCTCTTGACCCGGTCCCCTAACACCCTTGTTCTGGAGTGGGTCAAAGGCAATGATGTCAACAATCTCTCCTGAGACACCCCAGAGGGAGACAACTCTGTTCCCCCCAATTATCCAATATTGAACAATCTGGAACATGAAAAAGCAATCAAATTCTTTGCCCTTATGATCATCACTGTTCTTGTGTTCTATGACATTTTGTCCCTGCTTATGAAAGGAATATCTTCCCTGTTATAAATACATAGGACTTTACAGAAATACATTGGTTTTCTTCCTGTTAATTGATAATTACTTTTTCTGTAGTTAAAATTATGTTTGTATTTTTCTAGGTGACCAAGATATCGACGTGGTGTCTGGATACATCTCAAAAATGAAAGTAATCTATCCAGCAGTTGAAGGTCGGATCAAGTTTTCTGCAGGAAGTCACTGCCATGGAAGCTTTTCTCTAATATTTCTTTCATTTTGGGCAGTGATCATTGTGTTATACCAATAGCCAAAAACTCTCCTTGCCATTAAGGCGTGGAACTACATTTTTCCTCAAGTGAGATTCAGGTCTGCCTTTTAGGAACTGGCTTTGTGATGGCTCAGACCATCCTCACAGGCTCCTACAAGCTGAGCTTAGAGGGTCGTAAATGAAGACACTCCATCATCACTCAGGATCAGCAACTTAGTGAACACCCAGGAAAAGAAATGAAAATGGGCCCTAAGAGGCCCTAAACCATTAGTTTACATGTACAAATTTTAGTAACATTTTTTCACAATTTTAAACCATAGAAATCATTTTTCTCCTTTATATCCATTCTAATCCACCAAGCAACTTATGTGTACATAGAACTTCATCATTTACAAGGGAGTTTTAAGCACATTATCTTATTGGATGTCCACACCTCTCTTTGGTGGGCAAGACTGGTATTGTTTTTCCCATTTGACAGAAGAGGAAACTAAAGCCCAGAAAGAGTTGACTTGTTCCAGGCCACACAGCTAAAAGTGACAGATCCAAGACCCGCACCTAGGCCTTCTGATTTCAAGTCCAGCACTCTCTCAGCGATATCCAGTTGCTATTCAGAATGATACTCGGTGGTCTTCACTCTTCCCAACTGTCGACAGCCCCAAGTTCATGGACGACAAGTCTGCTTTATTTTTGGTCTCTAATTTTTTCCTTTGTAGCTCCGGCTGTTATAACGAGTTTGATGGACTTACAAACACAGGGGAGCATCCTCTCTTGTACCCATGTGCCTTTGATGAGTCAGGGAACAAACGGTGCAGCAGATAATGGGAAAGGCCAGAGGCTGCAAAAGGCAATCAAGGGGTAGGGAGGAAGGGAAGGGAAGAAAAGGACACCCACGACCGATTTACATTACAAAAGAGAACGAGCTGAAGGGCATTTAGATGTGTTAAACAGATTTTTGCTAAGGAGCAGCAACATAGAGCCTGACACATGGTATTAGCTGTTAATTTTATGAAATTCCATCAGTTCTGCCTCTATGCTCTTCCTCCGTTCTTCCTAGCGTGAAGGCGTCATGAGAAGAGAACCTTCTAAGACAAGGTAATTCTAAACCTGCACCTGTCCCTCCCCAGCAAGATGCCAGCATTGTACTTATTCTAGTCACATCACCCATACACACACACACACTCTCCCTTCCGTGCCACTCTCCCCTCCTCCCCTCCCCAGAGGGGAGACCAGGGTTGATCTATTAAAAGTGGCATACATAAGAAGTTTGAAATCAGCTCTGCCTCCAGATCTGAACAATCACTCAAAGTCCGTCTCAAGTATAGATATGAGAACTCCTGCCTGGGAGTGGGCCCCTTGGAGTGGGTGCTCAGGAAATACCCAGACTAATGAGATGATTTATGCCCAAAGATCGAATTCTTGCTTAAGGTGGCAGTGAGACCATGTGAGCCTGTCAGCACTGCATAAACAATTCAACAAGAAATGGGAGCCTTCACCTTAACAGTGAGCAAACAGCAGCTACAAGTTTGGAGAAGGAGTATGTTTGTTTCTTAATGTTTACAAATATTAAGTACTCAATACAAAATATACTTTTAAATTTCATAGCCTCTTTATAAAGGTTGTTGCAGTATAATAATGCCCTTGGTTCTATGCCTATACAGATTAGCTATAAATAAACAAATGTCAGTAAGATTGTAAGAGGAAAATTAGAGAAAGATGCATTTGGGGTATACTTTTTATGCTTTGTCAGTAAAATAAATCCTATTGCAGCACAAATTTTTAAAAAACATTTTTCTAAGTTTTCTAAATCTGGGTGCATGTATTTTGCAGTGGTTTAAGAAATAACCTCAAAACACTTTGCAACTGTTGATTCCAAACAATTAAAGATATGCTCCTTAAATTTTGTGGTGATTTCTTCTCTCAAGCAAACACCTATAACCAAGACAGTGTGACTGAAGGGAAACTCGACAGTTTATCACTGGTATCATTTCCTTTGACCACGTGCCCCTTGCCATGTGATAACCCTCCCTATCTCCCTTCTCATCCAAAAAATGCATGCAATTTCTAGGTAGAACAGTAAATAAAGGGTATTTTAAGCAAGACAACTACATTTTCTGGCTTTCATGTACAAAATCTAATGCAGAAACTGTTTTGAGGCATATAGTGGTTTCCTAAAAATAACAATGTCCACACTCGATAGTGTCGGGGATTTTAACGGACTGTCTGAACTGGCTGTGCATCTGAGAATCTTCCTCAAGCATACTGATGACACAACAGGCCAGCTGTTAGATCTTCATCAACCTCACACCTTGAGTCCATTGGTGGCAGAGCTGCCTTCAGCAGTTTGCAACAAAGAGTAAGCTGGGTTTCTCAGAAGAAAGTTTAGGTGGCTAATAGTTGTCCATTAGAAAAAGCTGCTCCCTGAGGGAGAATGTGGTCCCCTGATTAGTTTCCTGGAGCTGCTGTAACAAAGTGCCACAAACTGGATGGCTTACACATCAGAAATTCACCTACCGTCTGTCTGTTCCGGAGCCTAGCAGTCCGAGATCAAGTTGGCAGGGTCGGTTCCTTCTGAGTGCTGTGAGGGAGAATCTGTGCCAGGCCTCTCCTACCTTCTGGTAGCCTCAGGCATTCCTTGCCTTATAAATGGTATTCTCTTCCTGTTTTACATCCTTTTCCCTCTGTATATGTCTGTTTCTGTGTACGAATTTCCCCTTTTTATAAGGATCCAGTTATATTGGATTAGGCCCACTCTAATGACTTCTCGTCATCTGCAAAAACCCTACTTCCAAGTAAGGCCCTGAGGGTTAGGACTGAAGTCCTGCCACAGGCCCTCAGCATCTTTTAGAGGGAAACAATTCAACCGATAACAGTCCCCTGGCATAATCTACATAATCAGCTGGGGCAGCCCTGAAGCAACTAGCAGCTTCTGCATCCTTTATATTCTGTAAATGAAAGGTTATAATTACTATTATTTTTGTACTGGTAAAATCATACACATTTTAGAAGGTGATTTGGTTCAACTATAGCAAATCAAAAGGAATCAGTTTTCCTATCTAATGCAGTCAAAAAGAGGAGCTATAAACTTTTATAACAAATTGGGAGATCTCAAATCTCTAGTGAATAGTACTGAGGCCTCTAAGAACCTGAATGAAATGCTTCATGAAAACATTCAGTTAACAGGGGCCAGCCTGGTGGCATAGACATTAAGTTCACATACTCCACTTTGAAGGCCTGGGGTTCACAGGTTTGGATCCCAGGCGTAGACCTACACTGCTCCTTAAGCCATACTGTGGCAGCATCCCACATACAAAATAGAGGAAGAATGACACAGATGTTAGCTCAGCAACAATCTTCCTCAAGCAAAAAGAGGAAGATTGGCAACAGATGTTAGCTCAGGGCCAATCTTCGACACCAAAAACCAAACCAAAACAAACAAAACATTCAGTTAACAAATAAGCTAGTTAGGGTAGGAAAACAGTTTAACTCTGATCCATGACAAGGATGGCTGGCATATTACAAGCAAGGATGGAAATTTATAGACTCATTATTCATGAGGATTCTTGGTTGCAAAAAAACAAGAAAATGTCTGTAACCAGAGACATATCAGAAGGATATTAGCTAGCTCCCAGAATCATCAAGAAGCATGGAGAGTGAGGCCTAGAAACTGGAGAGCAAGCAGGAAAGTGAGGCACTGCCACAGGAGCAGTCTTCGTGGCCCACTGCACTGGTGCTACCGGGTTCACCTCCACCACAGCTCCACCCACAAGGGCCTTTCACTGTCCTTGTGCCTCCATTCAGATGGAGCAGCTAACGAGCTGAGCCTGGTTCAGGACCAAAGTGACTTTCATGAAAATAGCAGGCTGACTGAGGATTTTACTCCACCTTTTGGCTTCCATAAGAAAAACCGATACCCTCTCCCCCAATTACCTCGGAATTCCCCCAAATAAAGATGTTCCAATTCTGGACAATCAAAAATGAGAAAAGGCCCCAATGAATACTGAGGATTTTCAAGTACAACAAATATGGATAAAATGATATGTTAAAAACAAAAACACTAGCTTCTGAGTTTGTCTTGAAAACTACACTGAGTTCTTAACCTTCTCTCCAACAACGTACAGTCACATGTGTGATATCCAGATTTTTAAGAAAGCCAAAAACGCCATGAAAGTAAACAACACTGCAACCTTTTTTTTGTAAGACAATCACTAAATAATTTGTAAGCATATTAGTAATGAAATTAGCCCCTAAGATATGTTGATATTATTTTATAAGGAAAAATAAATATGGCTAGTCAAATTTCTAAATAACCTTGAAGTTTGTAATTAGATGGGGTTTTTTTTCAGACTTATACTCTACAGGTGAAGCAAAAGAAATCTATACATTTAAAGAATAAACGTAAGTTTTATTTTATTGGTAAAATCATAATGTATTGACTTTATATATCAACATTAACACAGTGTTCTGAAAACTGCACTAACTTCTCATGATGTGAAACTGACTTTGTGATAACTTTTGTGTCATAACTGAGAAATGCTTATAGCATGATTCCTGCTCATCCACAACACACATATATTATTACTCTGCTCAGGTTTTCCTCATGTAGCCTTGCCTTATTCCTTACTGAATATCTATCTTTGAGTAAAAGTGAAAAGAAAAGATGAGACTATAAAATCAGAGATCCTAGACACTACAATAGAATAAGTCTTAATGAACAGACTAGTAACGTAACCTCTGTAATTACTTTCTCTAGAACTACACCCCAGATAGGTAGGCTTCTGGCTCCTTGAATATCTGATAGCTGCTTAACTCTACCCCTCCCCATCCCAGCCAGGAAAGCCCACCACAATGCAAGTGAATGAGAGCAGCATTATAGGGCTAACACGGACGCCAATATAATTCACACTTAAAATAGAAATAGAAAACAAATCACACGGGAACTTCAGTACTTAAATTTTATTCATTGTAATAAACTACTAGCCACCCACTTCAAAACTAATCAAGAGACACAGTGGGCTGAACACCAGGGCTGAGACGATGCTAATCTCCACTAGCCAGCAGCCATAAGCTGAATGCCAGAGGCACCTCACAGAGGGAGAAGAATGTGCAGCTATTAGAAATATTAATAAATTGTAAAAACACAAATCCACGTCATTTAAAGATCATTAATCTATTTATTACAAGACAAGAATATCTTAGAACTTTTCGTCAATGTAGAAAATTAAAACAGAATGACTGAGCGTGGGGTGCAGTTCAACAGGCTGCAGTGCTTTCGCAGGGCCGTTCTCCGTCCCCAGAGCTCAGCGCACTGCCATGCTCAACTTACTCGAATCCGTCAGTGCCCACACAGCTGTATCTCCTATACACTTAACTTCCTTGAATTATCCAATATTTTGGCCACATTCAGTACAACTTTTGTTTTTGTAGTTATTTGAAAAAAAAGAAGAATCAGCCTCAGTGTGCTCCCTCGTAACTTCTCAGCAGTTACACCCGTCCTACAGCCCCTTCCCTTCCTCTCCAACATCCCTCTCTGCTTCCTCCTTCTCTGGGAACACCTCTGTACTTACCTGATGCAGAAATCTGGGAGTCTGAGCCTGAGTCCAGTACCCTAAGGTGGGCTGACATGCTCACTGGACCTGCAGCACTGGTTCAGGATTATGTGTAGAGGCACGTGCCCTGGTCTCTTCGACACTCCTTTCACTAGGCAACAGTCACATAAAAAGGTGAGGGACCTAGATCACAGCCACACTCCTGCCTCTTAACCCCCTCCATGTACATTCCACCTCAACACCCCCCAAACCAGTCTTTTTGTATCGATCACCTTCCTGGTGCCAAGTGCTGCTGGGCTGGGACAGGTGATGGAGGGATGAGGAAGACACATCCCTGCAATTAGACTGTTCACAGCTGAGTGGGAGAGAGAGAACTAACATCTAAGAACAGAAATGCAGGCTTGTATTTGTCTATCCAGCCTCTCTTCCTACTCCTGGAAAGAGCCCCCACACACTGGGAGACACTGCATCTCTCCTATTCCAGGTGGTTCTGGTAAGACAGCTAACTACAGTCTCCTAGCCCAAGTGGAAGCAGGAAGCATATGACCCAGGCCTCACAATTATGGTGTCTGACTGTCTTGGTCTGAGTTATTGGCACAGGGATAGGCATGTGACGGAAGCCAAGACAATAAGAATCCTTCCACAAGCTTTTATATGTGTACGGATGGCGAGAGAGACAAGCTCCCTTTTTTGCCCCTCTGTATCATCATGTGATTCCATAGTTGCTTATAACTGTCCTCCCTGACACGAAGGCATGTGCAAGAACGACAGGGAACAAGACAGAAGCTGAGGCAAGCAATGGAGGTGTCCACAGAGTCCTGATACTATTTAAGTGCTGGTTAAGTCCTACTGAGGACAATTTTATTATTGCCTGTCCATAGACGGTTTACATGAACCAACACATTATTTCTCTCTTCTTTTTTCAAAGCAAAGTTGAGTTGACTTCTGTCACAATCAAAAGCTTAAACTAGCCCAAACTAGGAGAAAATGTCAAAAAGCTTCCCTGAACACCTGTGCGTGTGCAAGTGAGAAGGGAAGGGAGTTAAATAGGAAAAACAGTGCAGACGTTAAGTAAACAGGGCTAAAATCCCTCAGGTAAAATTATGCAGTTTTCATTCTTGTACCACTAAAATGGATCTGAAAAACTTTAGAAAACTATCTAAAACACATTCCTTACGAATAAATTCAATGTCACCTATTTTTCCAAGACTTTTGAGCTACTTTTTAAAAATTAAATCTCCAAATAAAATAACTTGGCAGCCCGCTCCCTACTTATGGGAGTTCCTGGGAGTTGCTTACATGTCCCAGTTACTGCATACTGCTCTACGCTGCTCAAGGCTTCTGCAAAATT